GGGACCTAGACCACCGATAAGGTTTCCAGAAGCACCGTTAATAATGACGTTAAGCAGACCAAAGCTCAGGATTTGACGAGGTTCAGAATTAGCATTTTATTACCACGTCCAGTCATCCAAAACCATATAGTTATCTTGAATGATACAATTGGGTCTGTTACCACTAAATCAGGATTGTTTATCAATTTCAATCCGAGAACTTCACCATGCAGCACGCCCATAGTTGTAGTTGCTAATTAAGAGAATAACAATCAATATATATATATATATATATATATATATTTATATATTGCTTGTAATTAATGAAACATCCTACGTTCAAATTTAGAATAATTAATTAATAATCTGTAATAAGATCGGATACTTACTGAATGAGTTGGATGGATCCTCGACTATCATACTTTTTACCAGGAGCTCATGGCCACTTATTAGATTAGTGTTTAAAGTTGCAACATGATATGACAATATCCCCATACATATGGATCTAATGAATCAATCGATCGCCCTGTAGCAAGAAACCAAACGTAAACAATATATATATATATCATATAACAAACTAATTAACTTAACTCAGAAGTTAACTATCTGCTCGTTTAGTTCGATAATTTAAATTTTTAATTCGAGTTAAGATGTGATTTTATGTGAGAGTTTTTTACTGTAGCAAAACTCAAATTTTAAACTCAAATCGGTGAAATAAACGGGTATATATATATATATATATGTATAACATGTGGTTGCTTGAGAGGTTAGAGCAAGAAAAGCAGCAAAGCTCCCTCTTACGAGTTGCAAGATCACCAGTGTTACCGAAGAAAGGAAACGATTCAGCTGCATTGATAAAAGCATCATAACTGTAGAATCCCTGACTTGGGCAATCTTTCCGGTGCTTAAACATTTCATCGAAAAGCGATTCCTTAAGTATCTTTCTCATCTCGTTTTCTTTGATTTCGTACCAACATCGGTATTGGCATTATCCCCTACCACAATAGTCATGACCACTACCACAATACCCTTTTACGCTGCAAAATCTGTTCTTGCTATATGTAGTTATTTTTTAACTTTAATTTATCTATTTTATTCTTTTTATTCTAAATGAATTAAGTTTGTAGTAGAGTTAACTCTTTTTTTTTTATAGAATTAATAGAGTTAAATTTAATATCCAAAGTTTGCAGTATACAAACTTTTAAATTTATATGGTTGTATATTGATTTTTGGTTTATTTTAGACTTAAATTTGAAATAAGAATATACTTAAAATCAAAACTCAAGGACTAATTAAAATTTTCTTTAAAAACTATGGAGAAAAGACAATAAGAAAGTTTTTGAGTGGGGGCAAATAAGGAGGAAAATGTCAAAAATTACAGTATTGAAATCAAATTGTAAAAGGAATTTTTAGATCCAGTGGGGGCGGCCGTGCCCACTGGGCCTAACATAGCCCTACCACCATAGCATCCTGTGAAATGCGTGCCTAATTTTTAACTGTTATTGAACATGATATTGCTAAGTGATTGGCCCGTTCACTTCGTTGATTCGAGTTTAGAATTCGAGTTGAGATGTGATTTTATGTGAGAGCTTTTTACTATAACAAAAAAGTTAGATGTGATTGTTTGTGAGAGCTTTTTACTGTAGAAAAACTCAAATTCTAAACTCGAATCAGCGAAGTGAACGGGGCCTAACGGGCGCGGATTCGAGTTTTCAATTTGAATTGAGATGTGATATTTTTTGAGAGTTTTTTATTGTAGTAAAAAAAGTTATATGTGACATTTTCTGAGAGCTTTTTACTGTAAAAACCTAAAACTGAAAACTCGAATCGGTGAAATGAACGAGGCCTCAAATATAGTTTTTAATTTGAATTGAAATGTGATTTTATGTGAAAATTTTTTACTGTAGTAAAAAAGTTAGATGTGACTATTTATGATATCTTTTTATTATAACAAAAGTTAAATTCTAAACTCGAATCGATAAAATGAACGATGTTGTATGACATGATTAGCAATAGAAGAATAACATACCTTCTTCTACCAATCCTGTTCAAAAAGCACATGAGATAATAGTGAATAAATAGTTATTTTAGTCTTATTCATTTCATCAATTTGAGTTTAAAATTTGAGTTTTGTTACAGTAAAAAGCTCTCAGAAACAGTCACATATTACTTTTTTACTACAATAAAAAGCTCTCATATAAAGTCACATCTCAATTCGAATTAAAAACTCGAATCAACGAACTAAACGGGTTCAAAATATATTTGCAAGTTTCATAATTTAAGTTTAGATATTTCTATCTTGAAAAATTGGATTTTTACTAGAAAAAAAATTGAAAATTAAAAATAATAGAGATAAAAGCTAAAACACGATAACGAGAACTTTTCCCCTTATATCCTTACCATCTTATTTTATATTTGAGTTTAAAATTAAGATAAGCATTCAATTTGGACTTTATCTTACTTTCACGTACAACAAAAATTTGACTATGACTCTTTCCCAAATTCTATAAATAGGTACTATCGGAGAAGGAAAAAATTCCTTTCATTTCACCGATTCGAGTTTAGAATTTGAGTTTTGTTATAGTAAAAAACTCTCATAAACAGTTTAAAACTCTCACATAAAGTCACATCTTAACTCGAATTAAAAACTCGAATCAATGAGCTAAACGGGCCCTAAGTTTTACCTCCTTACGAACCGCTCAATCGGGCCCTACGCTCCTCGTTCCTCGCCCTTTGTCGATTCAGATACCCACTACTACCTAGGAACTTTATAAGTCTCAGTCTCTATGGTGCTCCCCCTGTTGGTATCTGAATTTTGGATTGAAATCATTTTTTTTGTGTGTTTTTGAATTAATTTGTATCTTATAAAGTAATTCGTGTATTATTGAAAGTTTATTTTTTTCCCCTGTTTGTCAAATGGAATTCACTACTGAAAATAAACGATTTTGCAATTTAAATTGAATTCTTAGAATTGCCAATTTTTTGTTTGATATTTGTATCATTTGTGTTTAAATCTTCTAAATGATTGATTACCTCTTATGTTAAAAAAAGTACATGTGTGTTGTCTCACATGAAAAATTGATGAGAATGTGACGTGGTTTATATACATAGAATGACCCAAGACCTAATGGGTGCGTTTGGAACTCGTTCCAAAATGATTTTATTTTTTGTATGAAAATAAAAACAAAAACGTTTTCATTTTCATTTTGAAATCATTTCTGAAAATGCGTTTGGTAGTTTTATTATGAGATTGTTTTCATTTAAAAAAAAAAACTGAAATTGTGTTTGGTGGTTTAATTTTTAAAAACATGTAATAATATTTAAAATAATAATATATTAAATAAATA